CCCCCGCCGACGGGGAAGATGCCCGGCGCCCCCGAGGCCGTGTCGGGGGACGGCGCGGGCGTGAGCCGCCAGAGGAAGCTGGAGGCGCTCATCCGAGACCCTCGGTCGCCCATCAACGTGGAGAGCTTGCTGGTAGGTGGCCGGGGCCCGGGAGCCCTCTCTGCTGACCGCTCACACCGCCGATTCCCCCGACTGCCCACCCCTCCGTGCCCACCCATCAGTGGGGGGAGGTCTCGCCCCACCCCGCCCAGCTTCCGGCAGCCGGGGCCCGGGTCGGAGACCAAACATTTTTGCGACTAAGTTCCGGGAGTAGAGACCCACCTTTGATTCTTCCCTTCTGTCTCCTGGAGCCGGTGTCATCCCCGGCTGGCCCTTTCTTGGGGCTCTGGGAGGAAGCACCCCTCTTCTTCCCGCCTGCCCTGGGGGTTTGGGGAGGTAGGGTGGAAGGTACGCTGTCCTTCAGGCACCAGGCTAGCCCGTTTGCAAGAGCGTCATGCTGCGTGGGGACGTGAGTCCGAGGAAGCGAGAAACCTGGGGCTGTCCCTATGGGCAGTACCCACCTGGGGTACAGGACAAAGAGTTCAGTCTGAAATCTTGAAACACACAACTAAGGTTTTCCTGTTTTCAGTTGTGTTTGAACGTTACTAGTTGCAATTTAGTGCATTTTAATTTCTGTAAATTTAATTTCCGAGATTATTACACCAGAGCTAAAGAATCCATCTGAATTGCAGAATGGAATCAATCTCTCCTTTTCATTGTATCTCTTTCCTGAGATGGCCTTTGAAATCCAAATCGATAGCCACGTAACGTCTGCTAGTTGGCTTTGTTTAAGAAAGGGACATGATTTACAGATCAGAAACGCACTGTAGAATGCTTGTTTATTTCTTGTTTTTGTTAGGATAGACTTGTATTTCACAGACGCTTTGATTAATATGCAGTAGAGATGCATTTATGGGAAAAGTGGGTGTGGGTTTTTACCCTGGAGAGGAGAAGAAAGCGAAAAAGATGCGCTGGATGTTAAGTTAACCCTGGACGACTAGAATTCAGGTGGATGATCCTTGGATCCTTCAGATATTCCCTTCCAGAACTCCTGTTCAGCTCTACTCCCTGACAGGAGAAATCTATTGACTGTATGATAAGAAAAACTGTCTCTTCCCTTTCCAGTGACTGACTGACTTTCCTTCAGAAGCTGTTGGTTATCCTTTGAGGTTTCTGGAATCATTTGCAGAGTGACTCAGTACCGTTTGGCTGAAGTGCAGGAACTGACTAAAGAGTGTCTTTCTGTACAATGTACAGAATGTAGTGATGTACTGTATTCTGTCAGACGCGTTTGACATTTCCTTTTCCCGATTTTCATGTTAGTGGGTTGTTCATATGTTTTCATGGGAGCATGGCACTATGAATAGTGTTTGGAAGTCTTCAGTTGGGACTAGGATTGGTTGCATGAAGGGCATAGCTTTTCCAAGGCCAAAGCAGAGACTCTGGGCTTCACTCCCAGCATTTTCGCTTTGGTATTTTGCTAGCAAAACTTTGACCTAAGGCCAGAAAGTTCAGTTAAAAATAGTACAGCAAATCTCAAGTATTCATCAAGTTCATATTCAACCTCAGATAGAAATTTTTTACACTTCACTTTCATCTCTTGGGTCTTTACTGATGTTCATCATAATTATTAGGGTTGTTATGAGCTTGAGCCTAAGTTATTTATACATGGTAATGAGCATACATTCTTTTTTATTAAGGTATTTTCTAAATTATTAAAATGAAGGCTGTTTTTAAAAAAGGAAGCATTACACATGCTCAGTAAACAGTCTGGTCCATTCATTTATTAAGTGCCTAATACAGCCAAGACACTTCACACCTTTATTAAGGTAACATACTACTGGTATGACATCAGATGCTGCTGACTGGACGGATTTTGTTTTTGCTGTTTTTAGCTGATTAACTTTTAGGGTTCTGAGTTGCAGTAAATCTTATCAGGCCAAAAATTGTCCTTTACTCTTTGAGGTTGCTGATGTTTCTATTGCAAAATGACGAGCTGAAGATTTTTTCTAAACCATGTTATAGTAAGTTAGCTTTAAATCATGTGTATTTCACTGTATCAAGTAGTAGAAGGAATTAGTTTTTTAAATTGTGGTAACATGTACATAACATAAAATTTACTGTTTTAACCATTTTTAAGTGTACAGTTCAGTGGCATTGATTACATTCACATTATTGTGCAAGTATCACCACTATCCATCTCCAGGACTTTTTCATCTTTCCAGACAGAAATTCCAAGAATTAATTTTTTCTTTTTTTAATAAATTTATTTATTTATTTGTTTATTTTTGGCTGCATTGGGTCCTCGTTGCTGCCCGCGGGCTTTCTCTAGTTGTGGTGAGCGGGGTCCACACTTCGTTGCAGTCTGCGGGCCTCTCATCGCGGTGGCCTCTCCTATTGCAGAGCACGGGCTCCAGGCGCACAGGCCTCAGTAGTTGTGGCAGGTGGGCTTCAGTAGTTGTGACACACGGGCTCAGTAGCCGTGGCGCACGGGCTCAGTTGCTCCGCGGCATGTGGGATCCTCCCGGACCAGGGCTCGAACCTGTGTCCCCTGCATTGGCAGGCGGACTCCGAACCACTGCGCCACCAGGGAAGTCCCCAAGAATTAATTTTTAAAAGAGTGTTATAAAAACATATTTCCTGAAATAATGGTGTGGATCACTTTAAAGATTTGAAACCTTACCCTTTAGCCTTCATGTCACAACTGATCATTGTTTTACTGCGAATGGCATTTCTTTTGGTTTTATTATAGAAAATATTTTTCCTTGAACAGAGAAAATTTAAAGTAATATAATCTGATAAAAACATAGTCACAAATCTTATTTACTTATTCAGGAGCTTAGAAAGTACCATTTAAAATTGTATACTGCCTAAGATGACAAAAGTAAGAAGATGAAGTATACCAGAAATTACTGTATAATAGTTACTCTATGGGTACTGTAGGCTAAGCCTAGAAGGTAAATCTATTTGTTGGAAAAAATATTATATAACATGTAAAGTGCTTAGCCCAATGCTTGGTACATAGTAGTGCTCGTTAAATTTAGCTCACTTCTGTGTGCATTTATCATATTTTTAGGTAAGTGCTTTATATTTCCTTTGAAAAGGAAAAGGTTTTATTGGTAACTATTTCTTGCTATAAAATTCTGAATGAGTAGCATTATCTTTTGAATTTGCCATCAGAAAAGTGCTAGCAGTCATCAGGCATAGCTAGAACTGGATTCCAAGACTGTCCGTAGAGGGACTAAATTGTCTTTTTTTCTCTGCATCATCTCGTTTTATGGAGGCTTTATGTGGGTCCTTAAGATTAATCTGAAGAAAATATATCCCTTTGTGGTTGCAGATTGTGAGTTTCTTGGTATTATTTAAAAATAGAGTTTTGAGAGAGATTTGCTTCTGTAATACTTTTTTTTTTTTTTTTTTTTGGAGGGAAGGATGGTCAGTAGTATGCTTTTGCAGTGTTTGAAACTTTTGGGTAAATACCCATGTTTTGTTATCAAGACTAAGCTTCTGATACTGCTTACCCAAATATTATGGTAAAAAGAATTGTCCTTTAGTGTTATGATGGAGAAATGTCTTTCTAAAGGTCTGTGCTTTTGTGTTTTGATTTATTTTTTTAGGAGAGTAAATGATTGTTATAACCTGTGGGATTCAGGCTTGGGTAAACTGTTCCATAAGGCTGGTGTTGATGGGGAAAGGTGATTAAAAATTTACTTACGGTTTTCAGCCACTTAGAATACAAAACACTTTGATTTTATTATACCTGTGAACTATGTGAAAATATTTCTTATCACAGTGCTAAGATTTTCAGCTTGGTGATGGTTATTTGCTTATTTAAAATAAAATTGTATGTGCATTTTCCCCCCACTATATAACAAGTGTGAATATCATAAAGATGCAAAAGTGAAATAGAATAAAAATTGAATAAAGAAGGTTTTATATGTGTTGTTCTTTTGTGAAATAAACGTTGGGCATTTATAGCATAAATGGGATTATATTACTTTGAAACTTGCATTTTGATGGTCAGGAAATCTTTAAAGAAAATGAATTAGCTAGAGAGGTTGAAAAAAGTAATGTATAGAATTTACTAGTTAGGTGAAGTTGAACCCCTTTGAAAGTACAGGTCCACAGTCCCTCCCCCACAGTTCTGATATATAAAGAGCTCTGAAAACCTAGTTTTTGGTAAAACTTATTTGATGTAACATCTGACCTGATCTGATGTTACAGTATTTTAGGTGATTCATCTCTCTTGGTGTAAATAGTAATAGCTTTCCCTGGAGAAATATTAGTGTTTGATTTCAGGGTGCTACCTCAGACTCCCCAGAGGGTTTTCGGGAATATACTGTATATAGTATATATACTTTATTACTATTTGAAAATCCAAAAAATTCTGAATTTGGAAACATCTTGCCCCACGGTAAGGCCAACATAGACTAAGTAAGGAAATATTGACTTATATACACCTTAAATAGTTGTAAAGAAATAGTGGATAATTATCTTGAAGCCTAAGTTGTTGTTGTTGTAGTTGTTTTGGTTGAGTCCTGATCAGATAGCTCTCTTTTCCCATTTCAAATTCTGAAGTATTCTAAACATACTAAGAGAATATAGCATGCAGATATGAATTATGAAGCATAAAAAGCAAGCATTCATGAAATCACTGCTCAAGTTAATGCATAGAACACTAACCTATTGAAGTTACCCATATTCTGCTGCTGCTGAATTCAGTCTTCCTTCATCCTCTCTCATCTGCTACCTGGAACATTTTTTTTTTTTTTAATCATTTCCTTTATTTCATAGATTAACACATTAGTATGTATTCCTAAACAATATTGTTTAGTTTTTCTTTTAACTTTATAAAGGGTTAACATCTGTATATATTCTTTTGTGACTTGCTTTTTCACTCAGAATTACTCACATTGTGGTTTATTAATCTTCACTCATAACATAAACCATAATATATTGCTTCAATCTACTTGATGGATATTTAGATTATTTTTCATTTTTTTGCTATCATGGAAAGTGTTGTGATCATTCTTGGAGCCCATGTGAAGTTTCTGTAGGCTAGGATATATATCTAGGAGTGGAATTGTTGGGTT